CGGCAGCTGGTGCGATTGAAAACACCAGAGAGAACAGTTGTTGTTGCTAATCTTGACGCACCTTCTTCTCCATCAACAAATTCTTCTGGTCAGGAAAACCAGGCAGCTAAATCTCCTGTTTTTCCAACAAATAACGATAGAAATCGGCCGACTTTTCTTCAAAATCGACAAACAAATTTTTATGGACGAAATAATAGTAATAGCGGAGGTCAGAATAGTAACAGTAACAGTTTTCGTCTGCCTTTTCCTCCTGGTAACTCTGTCAATTTTAATCGTTCAAATCCATCAGCGGTAAATGATAATAGAGAACCGCCAGGACCATGTTCAATTTGTCGTAAAAATGGACATTGGAGAAAAGATTGCAGAGTTCCTTGCACTATTTGCAGAAGAACCGGACACAACGCATATTATTGTTTCCAACAAAGAAGCAATTCTCAGCGTAGTCCATCTGCCGCACCTACTTTTTCCGGCGGCGATGCACAAAATCTACAGAATCCTAATCATTTAAACTGAAAAGGGAGCAGCTGATTGAGGATAAGCTAGCACCCCATACTATTCACAAGTCCTCGATGGAACAGTCCAAAGAACAGGGAAAAATCGAGGCCTTGAAATCCTTATCGAGGTTTCTAAAGTCCGGTCGTGATGAAGAATAGGTCTCTCGACCTATTGTCGATTCTGCATCGTCGTCATTTTCTTCTTCTTTGTTAGAAATGTCGAGAACTCCGTCATCACCTAAATCAGCAGCTTTTGAACAAAAAGTGGGGACTAATTTAACACTTATTGAGAATTTATTCACAGAAAAATCACCTAACTCTGGTTTTTCTCAAGCGGAGACTTCTTCGTCATCCGTATCTAATGCGACGACTGTTTCGTTATCAACTCCAAAAACAACAATATCTGATCAAAATTAAAATTTATTAGATAATTTCAAGCATGAAAACACCAGAAATTATAGAAAACAAAAGAGAAAATTAGAGAAGCAGGAAAAATTTACACTTGGAAAGGATTCTCTCTTTAAAACAGAATCTAAAGGCTTTGCTGCTATGGTGTTGAAATTAGAAAGCAAAATAAAAGAGAATGCTACTTCTTCTAATACTTCAACTTGCTTTTATACCATCAAAAGAGGTTGTGCTTCCGCCAAAGGAAAATTACTTGACGCCATAGGCATCTTTACCTTAGATACAGGTGCTGCTGTTAGCATTGTCAGTTTAGACTACTGGCGGCTTTTAAAAGGAACTGAAGCTGTTTTCCCTTATTCTGGAGCTGATAATGTAGGCCCAGAAGGCAGTTCTATTGAACCAGTCGGCTGGGTTGAAGCTGATATTACTTTAGCAGGACAAACTTTTAGACATCCGGTTGTTCTAGCTCGCAAATTCAATCAAAGAGTCTTGATAGGAACCGATTTCATGCTCGAAATAGGTTTAGTTTTAGATGTACAGGATGGAAAATGCTGGTTGAGAGATAAACCGTTGTCTAAATTTTTGCTAGCTACTGATCTTCAGCAGGCCAGTCGCTTGGACATACCCGTCTACGCTGTTCATAAAAAAAGAATTCCACCCTTTCATCAAACTTTCATCACGGCGCAAACACCATTGGATATTAGCGGACAAAAGTGGGAAGCCACTACCACTTCTGCGAGTTCTCGACTTTCCATTGCCAACAGTATTGTTACTGTTGAACAGAATATCGCTAATGTTATGGTTGCTAATCTGACACCACAATGGAGTTATATTCGTCCTGGACAGAAACTCGCTTTCCTTGATCATTTTTCTTCTGATTCTAGTCTGCAAAAATCTGATGGATCACTTCAAGAGCATCAGGATACATGTACATTTATTACACAAGAATCACCGGTGTCTGATCCGAAAGAAGGACAATCTAATTCATCTAATTCTGCTGATAACTGTTCTAAAGACATTTCAGCTACTAAATGTGTTAACAGTCCAGAACTAGCAACATCATTATTTATAGCAGAGAGAAAATTTGACAATCACATTGAAAAGATTAGACGACGATTGCTAAGTCAAGATCTAATTGCACGTCGGATCGAACATGAGAAAATCAAGATTCGAAAAGATGCTGATGTGGGTGAAGGAGATTTCGGTTCGTCTTTATCGCGTTTTGTTAATAATCAAAGTACAGTTGAGAGGCCAGATCCCTTGACTGCCCTCGTTGTTCGTTCTTTAGCTGAGAATACCGATCTTGCGCATATTTCGCCAGCCAATCCTCAATTTTATTCACAAATTGCTGAGAAGCAATTGGAGACGTTCAGTGATTCTACAGATATACCTGGTGATTGGCTAACTAAACTTGATTTAGCTTCTTCTGGCTTCTCCTTGAACCAAGAAAATCAGTTGCGGCAACTTCTCTTTCAGTATTCCGACATTTTCTCGTCAAAACCGGACCGTACTAATATAGTTAAACATCACATTGATGTTGGTGATGCCAGGTCGATAAAACAAGGTCCGTACCGCCTTTTATAATTCACACTACTCTGCGCTAATGTCTACCGCTTTGAAAAGCTTTGGGGCAACGCCCACCCACTAACAAAATCCTGGCTGCGCTAATATCAGATAGCTCAAATAATCTTCTCTCCAGGCAGCCTGTTCAGTGCTCTATTGTGTGACATATGCATAAGTGTTAATTTTCTCTTTCGTTTCAGTTATCGTTCATTCATCAATACAAATTTTTATAGCTTCCCTACTCCATTTATCACAATATATAAATGATGTTCTAGAACCATCGGGCTCCTCACATTTCGGCTTTCACTGGAATATCATTAACTATTTTTTATTCTAACTTTCTCTGTACTACATATCCTGAGATACCGTATACCCTTGAGTCTAGACAATTATTGAGGACAGTTCAGACATGTATTTTAAGTTCTTATGGGTAGAAGAGGCATTGGTAGCAACTTTTTACTGCTAAATATGAGTGTATTCGAGCTTTCAGAGAGTTTGTAGAGCTCAAAATGTTGTAGATTTTTGGATATTCGTGAAAGTTCGCGTATGTCACTAGGATGTCCCGGTAACCGTAGTTCTAAAACGCGAGCAAAAACGAAAATTCACGAATGTAGTTATTAAGGGTATGTCTTCTCTCTTTTTGAGATTTTGGTGAGCAAACGTAGCACACTCGAGAGAGCTCAAGCGCAGCTCATTTCAACAGCCAAACGCGCTAGCGAAGGAGGCCTCCAAGTCAACATTCAGAAGACGCAAGCGATGACCAGCCAGAGCGCTAACAACGGCACAATCAAACTCGACGGACACGAAATCGAGTGGGTCGATAACTTCAAATATCTTGGTTCAATGATGTTGTCCAGCGAGACCGACATCAAAGTGCGAAAAGGCCAAACGTTGTGAGCCTTCTGGAAAATGAAAGATATCTGGCGCTCAAAGACAATTCCAACTCGTCTCAAGATCAACATCTTCCAAGCCTCGTGTCTTTCAATATTCCTATACGGCTGCTAGAGATGGATCATCACCCGCAAGCTCGAGAGCAGTTTGAACAGCTTTGCCACCAGCTGCTACCGAGTAATACTGAACATCAAGCGTCTTGACAAGATATCGAATGCCACTGTTTACAAAAAAGACCGGACAAGAATCTCTGGTGCAAACAGTGCAACGACGCCAATTGCGATTCATCGGTCATTGCCTTCGAAGAGATGCGAGGGAATTCATCAACATGTACGCTGTCTACTCACCGAAACCGAGTCATGGCAAGCGCAAGCGGGGTAGCTCCCGTCTAATGTATCCCGATTACATTACGAGGCTAATTAACAACGATACATCACCGTCTGTAGACGAGATTAGAAAGGCTGCCGCGAACAGAAAGAATTGGTTCATGATTGTTGTCGCCTGCAAACCTCGATTGTTCGCAGTCGAGCACAAAAAAAGGCTTGTGTCACTAATATTGATTTGTAGAAACATCAATCATACTTCATAAGTGTTCTACTTCAGTCGTTTTTCATTGCTTTTAGCCAATATTAGGCCTATTTTACATAGTAATCGATAAGAAAACCATTTTTTGTTCAATCTTCGCATATGTGTCTGGGTTCTATACAATGTTGAAAATTATCCTGCAGAAGAAAAATACACATATTTTCTAGTTAATTTTTTCAAGCTTTTCCGGTGAAACTAAATTCTTTAAGTTCATTCCAGCCAGAGACAGGATACCTAGACCTTGATCTGTGAGCTGCACGGGTCAAGGTCAAAATTTGTAGAAGAAACTAGAAAGTTTAACTTTAAGGTGGCTTATTGTTATTCGATCCAATGAACAATTCTGTCTCGGGTCTGATCCTGACCTATAAAGTTGAACCTGGACCTACGGACATGCACTTGAAAAAAATAGATCTAGACTTGGACCTTACTTGAACCTGGCCTATGACCTGAACTTGTGACCTGGACGCTCGGTCCATTGGGTGAAAAAATTCTGAGAGTAGTGTGAATTTATAATATCCTGTACAGTTCCTGCACAGTTTACAATTCCTGAACAGTTCTTAGAATATGTGGGCAAATAAACATATTTTATGAGAAAGAGATATGATTTCTTTGTTAGTTACATATGTATACAGTGCTGTTGATATTTTACTCACGAACATTTTTCTCTATATTTTGCCCGCACATACACACCGGTCTAGCTGTCTTCGGCTTCATTTTATATAGAGTATATATAGCGCCTTAGTTACTTCAAACGTCATATATCCTCATATGTAACCGGTGCTATCTGCAGACATAACTGTTAACTATATTATTTTATGTGTTTTATCATTTTTAACCCAAAATATAAACATTGAGCTAGATTTAGAGAAATATTCTATTCGCTTAGATTTCATTACTCAATCATTCGTGTAGAAAACTGCGGATGTTTTCCATGATCTATGTCATTATGTATCACATATACACATTTAAATACAGCTACAAGACTTTAGGTCACAGGTACAGGTTCAGATCAAAGTCCAGGCCCCCTTTTCAGGTTCAGGTCTTGCAGGTCTAAGTCCGTTTTTGCTAGGTCAGGTCAGGACATACGGCCTGGACCTGACCTGGGCCAACATGCCTCTGATTCCAGCTATAGTTATTGAATTGTTATCCGAAGTGGGGAAATTGTGGACAGCCAACGCATAGTCAATAAAAATTCATTAGACTAATTAACGCTAACGAATGTTAAGAAGATTTTTACATCAGCAGACAGCGGTGATGCGCGTCTATCTGTTTGTATAATACTGTCTTTGTCCGGTTAAAAGTAGCGGCCCTATGCCCAGCATACTATATAAATTGCAGCTAAACTACCGTTCGTTTTGACCACGGTATCAATAAAAATCTCTTTCTTTGCAGACAAATTCCCGGATCTGTTGGTTTTCTACGAAAATAAAAAGGATTATTTAATTATTTTCAAATATACTTTATTTACTTATAATTATTCAGGTGAATAAATTACCATTATTAAACTGAAAACGTTTCGAAACGCTGCAGTGAAAGAAGTACAAGCATTGTACAGATCTTGGTGATATTTTACCACAATCAATTGATCTTGTTTATACTCATCCACCATCTGCATGTAGCAATGTGAATCAGTTTATTCTCAATCTATAATCACATTTTTATCCTCTTAACTGTTATCGACGCCTATAGGCGTCAGAGCAATCTTTATGAAAAAAATAAATACTATAATTTCTAAACTATGATAGTTGCTGTTTCAACAAGTATGCCAATTTCATGATAACTGTTACGCCCTATTCAGTCAATCGCAGTAGACACGGACAGATAATCGTTTACATATATTGATATAGATGTACGTTTTGAGGCAGTTAGTGAACGACAGTCTAATCTATTAGGAAAAGTCTGATCGTGAAATGCGATAACATGATGACACCACTTCAATTCCGTATAACACTTGCTCGTTCTTTATTGGGATACAATTTACATGATCATCTTCCAAATCAAGTAGTTAGAAGAGGTTGACCATCATTTGAACCTATACCAATATGGTTAGCTGAACGCTATTTTCCGTCTAGAATTCTTTCAAACTCAAACAGGGAACGTTCAAGGCGACGATGTTTTGTTTGTAGTCATACAGGAATTCAGAGCAACCGAAGACGACGTGAAACAACGTACAATGTTCAGTTTGCAACGTTGGAGTTTGTGTCGATCCATGTTTCCGTATCTGTCATACTGTACTAAACTTTTGAACAAAACGTTCAATTTGAAAACACTCACAGAAAGAAATGTTTTACTCTTTCTTATTAAAAAGTCACATCTGTTTTCCATATAAGAATAAAAGATATTTATGAACAAAAGGTTTATTAGTCTTAAATAACTGTGAATTTGTAAAAGTTATTGAGTAAAAAGATTTTTAGTTAGTGAAAAAAATTAATAGTTAAGGGGTTATGCAGCATCCCCATCATCTTGCTTTAGCAGTTGCATATACGGGCGCACATTTAGTTCAATCAAATATGACATTATCAACGGTGAATTATATTTCATTAACATAATTGGTTTCATATTCAGCATATTTGTCACTCTCTATTCAAGTTATTATAAATCAGACTGGAGCTATTTGAATGTGTTTAAACGATTATTTTTGTCAGTAATAATTAGTACTCTTTTTATTACCTTTGGTATGTGTGCATGGGCAACAGCATATTATCTAACTGCATTTTTACACGTATTAGCTATTTCAACGTTTATTCTAGATTATTTATCATTGCAATTTATAACATTTTATTAAAGAACAAATTTATTATTCGAATTTATTATTCAACAAAAGAAAACAACAAGTTGCATGTTTGATTGTATTAAAAGTATTATTTAATCTTTTTGTAGAGTAGATAGAAAAAATGTTTTTTTCCAACTGTCACTTCATTTTCTTGGAAACCAACCTGCAAATGGTCGACATTGTTATTTAGGTCATATACTACGTACCTGCTCCAATTTGTGCTATTTAACTACACAGATCGCTTACCAATCATGTGGCATTCGAGAAGAAGATAAGAACGATTTTCTTCAAAGCCTAGGTATACAAATAATAACGGCAGTTGATGACAACGATCAATATCAACAATACTTTCGGTACAGTTGTAACTAGTAGCTGCAATTCTGGTGAAAAATATAATGATATTGTGAACATAATCAACAGTGAATATTCGATCTCATCTATCATTTCCGAGTCACGTAACACGATAGCAACTACGTCGACCACACGAAAGACGACGGACCAAGCAAATGAACTAGCAACAACCATTGCGACAATTCAGTTGTCGAGTATATCGGCATTCCACACAACATCCTTGCTTATTGAAAAGAAAACCGACAAAACTTATTCAACTAAATCATTAAGATCGACGTTTTCCATGAATAACAATCCAGGATATCAACAACAAGCAACAACATCAGTGGTTTTGCGATGTCTGCATTATCGACAGCAGAATCGTTTGAAAGCATCGATACAGTACTACTAGCAACAACAACTAGTAATGGTACTGACAAGA